ATTCACGTTTCCCCTGGAAATTGATATCTTCTCTTAAAATGTTCAATAGCTTGGTTACAGAAGGAATTTCTTTTTTTACTGAATAAAATTCATGGATTTTTCTCCTAATCACACCAATATCAAAGTCATCAACTTCTAGTTTCCCTGTTTTCCTTTCCCTGTTTTTACCAGGTGTACATATTTTAGTATTAGTTTCTTCAGCTCGTTTTTCTTCATTCATTAATTTATAAACAAATCGCTCACTAACACCTGTAACAAAAAGTGGCTCATCAAACTTAAGAAATAATGTTATTTTTTTTATTTATTCGGGTGGAATAAACAGTGAACACAATGTAGGTATACGTTTAACGTTTATGAAAATAAGGAATAGTAAAATGGTGCACTAGTTAGTAGTAGTTGGGGCGACGTATCAGTTTTATTTCTAATTTTCAGTGTATATATATAGACAATAAAATATGAAACATAAGCTGAATATTAAAATAATTTAAGTGGGAAATTTTACTGTCCTTAGACTATAACACTAACCTGTAGCGGCAGCAGCACGTTGTAGCACTTTTTCAAATGGTATTTTTGGAGATTGGAGGCGTTTTTCTTCGTTCATAAAAGATAAAACTATTAAAATAATAACTCTAGCATCACTTTTAAGAGCTTTCGGCATTTTAATTGTAGTTTTAATAATAAAATCAAATGATAAACACAGAGAGCACCCACACCTTGTAAACTGACACGCAGATTGACGCAGATTTAGTTCCGATTTTGTCTACTGAACAGATAAGTTGGTGGCACTGTACGCGAAATCGTAGAAAGCCAAAAAAAGTTGATAAGGAGTATTACTTTTGAAGAAAATAATTCAGAATGTTCTACGCAACAAATGGAGACTGAGGGTACTTGTGAAAAACATGAAGTATGTTTAATATCGCTGTCAATTTTACCTAAACAAATGGCTTTTGCGAAGTTATTACAGAAAGAAAATATTCAGGGTATAATAAAGATGAAATATAAATCTCCCTATAAACTATTCATCTAGTTCAATGAAAGGAAGCAGGCCGAAAAACTCATGGAATGTCCATAATTGAAGAAACTTGATATTTGAATGCAGTTTACTACTGAACTAATGTTTTGTTATGGTATTATTAAAGGAATTGACCTAGATATGTCGGAAAAAGAAATTATGGAGTGCTTAGAGAGTATATATGGCATACAAAAAAGGGTAAAACGCAGAGACCTTGAGAGAGGGTGCGTGGGTTTACAGAGAAACTGTAAGAGTATGTTTCAAAAGTTCTACTTGTCCTGAATAAGTTGACGCTTTTGGATGTTGTCTACCTATAACACGTTTTATATTGCCTGTTAGCCAGTGATCCAACTGTTGGAAATTTGGTCATATAAAAAAAATCCAACTAAAAATATAGTTTGCCCAAAATGTGGGCAATATCATGATAATTGAAAAATCCAAACTTTTAAGTCTCCTAACTAAAAAGTAAAGGACCTCATATGACCCTAAATAAATTGTGTCCGTTGTACAAACAAGAAAAAAAGATAAGTTTTTTTATGAGTGAGGAAAATGTACCTTATAAATTAACATTAGAACGCCTTCTGAGTGTGGAAAAAGAACAGACAAATATTTTTCAAGAGAGGAATAGGACAGTAGTCCTAGAAAAAACACATTTATTGAACTCTGACGATCTCAGTGAGAGTGACATCACATGTCAAGTGAAAAGTTGTTCACTGTTCACTCATCAATACAGCGAGGTGGTTAAGAAAGGTAAGAGAACTTCTAAGAAGACAACAACAAGGATACAGGTTGAATGTAACATACAGGAGAACGGGGTATTTTTAAGCGATGATTCATGTAAACTGAATGAAAATAACAATGAAAGAAAAGAAAGAAGTACGATATTGCAGAAATTGCTATTAAAAGCTAGAGAGATTATATCACAAAAAAAGACAAATTTAGAGATATGTATGGAATTGTTGAATTTAGTATTTGAAGTATGTAAGTCATTTATTTTGAGTCTATTTTGTGAGAACGATTACTTTAAGTGGTTGTTTAGTTTACATAATAATAGATAGCAAAAAAAGTAAAATATGATTAAAATATTTCAATGAAACGCACAAAGTTTACCGCCTCAGCTATTAAGTTTTAGTTCTTTATTAAGCCAAGAAAAATTCATATATGTAGCTATAATCAGTGAAACATGGTTTAACAGGGAGCGTGAAGTACATATATCAGGTTATAATATTTATAGACAGGACAGATACGACAATTATGGTGGTGTAGCTATATGTGTACATAAATCAATACAATCAAAAACGCTCCATATTTTTAAATAATCCAGGTATTGAGGCTCTGTACGTCCAAGTATTTAATTGTAATGAATTACATCTAGTCTACGGTCCATACGAGACAGACAGATTGGGGCCAACTTTTCTCTGTAGTGAGTTAAAAAAAGTTAATTGGGGATGACTTTAACGGCCACCATACAAATTGGTCTTATAAGACAGATCCACGGGGTGTGCAGTTGTGGGACTCTGCACTTGATTATGGATTTACGTCACTAAATACCGGCAACTCAACTAGAATAAAATTAGTCAATGGACAGTTGCAGAATAGTTCGCCTGATGTCACATTCATATCATCAGATATAGTTGCTGGTGTCGATTGGCAAACTCTTAACGAAAATCTAGTGTAAGTAGTGATCGTTTAATAATTAAGATGATAATCAATTCCAATTGTCAAAATTATATAAAAACATAGAAAATTTAATGTTAAAAGAGCTGGCTGGTGTAAATATAAGTCTGACCTTGAGGTTTATTTTAGTGACATTTCTTTAAATAATAGAAATGTTCAACAATTTTACGACCATTTTGAAAATCTATTACATTCTGTGTGTGCTAATAAAAATATCCCTAAAATTGAAATTTGTTCAAATCAACTTGCAAATTTCAAACCCAAGGAATATTGGAATCCAACGCTATCCAAAGCAGTTGCTATTCGACGTCTAGCTCTTAAAGAATTTAGAAAGAATCCCGCAGCCAGCAATATATATATATATATATATATAAATCTTCAAGATAAAATTAAAGAAACCCCTGTATTAATTTATAAAGCCAAACTAGAAAGTTGAAATAATTTCTGTGCAAACATTAATGAAAAGACTAAGATGCGATGGTTAAAAAACCACCGTAAGCCTTAGTTTTATATTTCTGCAAATGAACAAAGGGATCTCTTATATACACTTACACCAGATACAGTTTTAAATTGCCCTCCTATTATTAAATACAAAAAACAGTTATTCGAGTCCCCTTTTACTTTACATGAATAAAATATATGCATTAAAAGGACCGATACTGCGCCGGGTGGCGATGGTATAACTTATTCTATGATATATCATGACCCTGATATAACAAAAAGGTTTCTACTCAATATTTACACAGAAATATTCAAGAGAGGTATTATTCCTAAACAGTGGCGTACTATTCTAATATTTCCTATAGCAAAAGCTATAAAAACATAGAAAATGCGCAAATCAAACTAAGGCCAATTTCGTTAATATCATGTTTTTGCAAATCTATCATAATATAGTATGTAAGAGAATCGAATGGTATTTAGAAAATAAAAGAACATTATCAACTCACACAACGGGATTTCGTAAAGGAATGTCAACAATAGATAATTTAACCAGAATTGTTACATAGGTACATACAGATTGGTTTTTCTAATAACCTACGGTGGCTTGTTTTATTGCGTATAATAATGTTTTAGTTGATAATATGATTCATTTTGGACAATTTAGGGTTAGGAATTTGTATTTGTAAATATCATTAGTCATTTTTATCTTCAAGGTGTCTCATTATAAGAAATGATCTGGTACTGGCTTAATATACTTTAACTGTAGTAGGTTATTATGAATTTGTAGCTTAGTTTAAACACCTTTATCTCAAATAAATTAGCAGTATAAAATGAAATTAAAAACTAAACTTAAACATATTCAATGGAATATTGGTCTATCTTCCGTGGCGTGTAAAGTACATTCGAGAAGGGCATTCAGTACACAATATTATAAATAATTTCGAATTGGTTTAGTGTGACGGAGTAATGTAATAAATAATAAATGTAGAACCAAAGTATTTCTATTTCTTGTTAATCACTGTTTTGGCTATAAAATTTAACCCTAAGATGCCTTGAAACTTTCGCATTAATGATATGTAGTTTTACTGCTCACAAGTCGATAGATCTCCGTCCCTTGTTTTACGCAAAATGTCTCAAATATCTTATCCACGGTCAAAGGGAAAGACAGCATAATGATATTAGAAAGCATCTTCTGTCACAGAATCCATAATACCATCACATTATGTCGACTTCCACACTGAAGTTTGTGGCAATAGCTTAGCGATATCGCTTCATACTCCCGAGACCCCTGGCTCTGGACTCAGACTTTCAGACCACAACTAGAATGAAACGTAACACAAATTATGCTTAATATTTATGACTTTCACTTTCTCATCATTTTTTGTCTGGGCACGGAACACTTTCAATCAGAACAGAGTCCAAATGTACATTATACCTTTAGAAAAGGTGCTCTGCATTTCTGGTCACCCTCCTGGTTATAGGTATGGCTTAGAAACACGGGTACAAAGCGTCTGCGTTGGTATCAACGAAACCTTACCGGATGGAGAACTCACGCAATAAGCATGAATAAAACACAGAGTAATGTCTATCATGTTTTATTGTAACATATAGATAGTTTTCTACACATCCACCTTACATACGCGTCGCGTGGTGCGCTAACTGATATGAGCTCTGAACAGCGCAGGCGCGGGGCGCCTCGCTCACCGGACATAAATAAAATTCACATAATAATATATAAACTTACACTAAAGACGGGCGCGGCTCGCACGCACATACATCTATATACACGCTAACCAACTAGTCTGTACAGTACCGTCACTATTTACAACGAGAGGATATGTGTGAGCAGCGGGAGCGCGCGCCCCCCGCGTCAGTCGCGCGGCGGCGCCCGCGCCAGCAGCGCCAGCGGCTGCAGCGGCTGCAGCGGCTGCAGCGCGGCGGCGTGGAGCACGTGGGCGTGCGGCGCCAGCGGGTGGTGCGCGCCCAGGTGCACGCCCGAGCCCATGGTGCCCGCACCGCTCTCGCCCGCCGGCGGGTTGATCCGTTTCTCCTGCAACAGACACGGAATGGTCAGGGTCGAAGTCGGACTCCACTTATTGACGACCACCCACTGACGATTACGAGACTCACTTTCTGGCGGCGATTGCAAAACCAGACACGCACCACCTCCTTCTCCATGCAGAGAGCATCAGCGAGAGCCGCAATTTCTTCACTCGTTGGCTTAGGATTGTGTAGGAAGGCCTTTTCCAGCGCGACTCGCACACCGGACTCGATGGAGGTACGCTTCTTGCGGCGTCGGCCTACGGCCTCCGCTAGCCCTGCACCGAGAGCCGCTCCACCCCCCGCACCACCGCCGCCGCCTGCCAAGGATGAGTCCGCATCCTCCAACCACTTTTGGAGCAGTGGCTTCAATTTGCACATATTCTTAAAGCTCAGGTTCAGCGCTTCGAATCGCGATATGGTCGTCTGAGAGAAATCATTCCCGTACAGCTTGCCCATCGCGAGTCCCACGTCGCCCTGAGTGAATCCTGTGAAGCGAGTTGCGATGATTATTAATTTGCTTTTAATAGAGACTAGAGCTGAGTTAAGCTAAAGTTACGTCAAACTAGCCTAAATCTCACCTAGCTTAATGCGACGCTGTTTAAATGTCTTGGCGAAGTGTTCTAACTCTTCAAGGTCTGCAGTATCATCGGCAGTGGGCTCGAGCGCTCGCGGCTTATGTGCGTGAGCGTGAAGTGGTGTGTGCGAGTGCGTGTGCAATGGCGAGCGCGCACGACCTGAGCCCGGGGTATGCGGGGTCAGGAATGCACCAGCACCCGGCGGGGTCCGCCGCGGTGAAGGTGACCGACCATCTAAGAAAACAAAACATTAAATATTCCTTTAGTTTTCATTAAGCAAATTTATGGTAAAAATGCAGCGATTGATGACAATATAACTGTACATTACCTGTCGTCGAGGGAGGGACAGCTCCAGCACGTGCTTGGAGTTGCTGCAACTGTTGCGCTGCAGCCTGCGCCACGGCCTGCTGAACCTGAAACGTGAGGTAAATCGACATTAGTGTTGGCTCTATTACCATGAGAGTGCTTTATCTTGTGAGGTAGCTTCTAACAATGTAGGAATTAAGCGATGAGCGTGCTTACCTGTGTGTGCAGCAGTAGTGAGTGCGCACCGTGCTGAGTGAGCAGGAGGTGCTGTAGCTGGGCGAGCGCATTGCCGGCGCCCGCTGCGTTCTGAAAAACATGATCCCAAAGGTAAAGGATGCCGTCAGAAATAACGGATCTTAGATCAGAATACTGTCTCTGACCAGTACTAATTTTACAACACAGTTATGCTGTGTTATGCCAAAGGATAATGCTTTCTTGTTTCGGGAGAAATTATAATAGGCGAATATTTGCATAAATAAAGTGTTACACTTACGAAGACAGCTGCAGTGGCTGCCGCTGCACTGGCGGCATTGTGTGAGGGATGCGAGGGATGCGCAGGGTGCGCGGGGTGTGGCAGAGGAACCGAGGGCGCGCGCGGCGGCGACGGTGGCCGCTCGTCGCCGCTGATTTCGCCCTCGCCACTCGCTGAACCATCTATAGATAACAAACACATAGTAAATAATATTGATATATCTGTTTAAACTTTAAGACTATTATTAACACGGATGAGAACGGAAATCGTGTAGCTATTAAACTTGTTCTTCTATTTCTAAGAAGAAAGAGCTGAAACATCTGATTTGAAATAAGGAGTATCAGTGGTAATGTGTTCTGTGTTCACAACACATTTGTATGAAAATTGCTTTAAAAGCCATGCCTAACACTGCCCGAATATTATCGTAAGTAACAGAATGAACAAAGGCAAATGGTAAAAAAGCGAGTTCTTATTCGGAGCTATGTGAAGATCTTAACGTTTGTGTCCAGCACCATATTTCGAACGTATCAATCCTTTGGTTTTAAAAAGCTAGGTACGTGTAAAGAGAAATCTATACTAATAACAGCAAAACAACGATTGCCGGGTCAACTAGCTTAAAAATAAAATCTAAGGAGCGCCACCCTTATCACCTAGGGGTGATAGGCTATATAAAAAATAGCTCACAACCTATTCTCAGACCTACCAAATATCCACAAGAAATTTCGTAAAAATCAGTATAGCCGTTTCGGAGAAGTTTGATAACAAACACTGTGACACGAGATTTTTATATATTACAAGATTATAAAGCTGAAGAGTTTGTATGTTTGGTTGAATGCGCTAATCTCAGGAACTACTGGTCCGATTTGAAAAGTTATTTCAGTATTAGAAAGCCCATTTATCGAGAAAGGCTATAGGCTACGACTGGTAGGAGCGGAGTATCAATGAAAAATGTTGCAAAAACGGGGGAAAATGATTCCTGTTGAGAGATTCCATTGTGTGCCCGGTTAAAGTTTCGCCAAAAATCATGTCCTGTAAAATTGTTGCCCTTTAAAAGTTTAAAAAAAAAGTCCGCGACAGCATATTACCATCTTTTAAGGTTGGCTCACTATAGCTTTTTTATGGTAATAAGATTTGTTCTACAGTGATTCCTTATTTGCGGAGGTGTTGTTATGAACATAATGTTACCTACATAACAAGATTATAAAAGCCAGTACTTTTACCTAATATTCTAAAGTTCCACTTGATAATTTAGTAGGCGATAATGTGAGGATCCGGAAGAGCCGCACACTCTTGTTGGCAACATTACCTCGGCATTATGTCTGGTATGATGTATGTGCGCCAGGCGGGAGGCGGGCGGCAGAGGGAAGCAGGAAACGAGCGGATATTGCATGTAAATGCATCGCATACGTCATTCTCGCGACAGGTCACCGCCTTCGACGCCCAGGCGGACCGGACTCATTTACATATTAATACAAATCAGATTTGCGTTGCTACACGCTAATTGTGATACATCCACCGTTATTCGAAAACATTAAAGTTACGTATTTGCGCGTCAACAGTGTGTGGAAGATGTCTTCATTTTAAATAATAATTTGTTTTAGATTGAGTTTTTTTTCATACATTTCATATTAGTTTACAATGGGTTTTGCTAACGACAAGTTTAAGAAGATAGCCGGCGTTAAGGAATTAAATTTACACAGAGCCGCTGCTAAATAGGATAAAACTTGGGACGCAACAAGCAACAATAGACGAGTAACTTCTTCTTTTTCAAATATGCCTGGGTAACCGCTTACCGGAGGGTGTGGCATTTGATAGTGGTACCAAACAATTGTCAAAAGGTAAACATAAAAACAAAATATGGCTCACTTTTTACATGCCGAATGCTTAAAACACTAAAACACGAAATTCTCCTAGTTGTAGCGATAGCGTTAATAGATCGGGGCAGGTACATGTGAAACAAATGTACATACATAAGTTTCGTCTCAGGTGAGGGGCCGATAAAGGGGTGAGTGCGCGTGCGTGCAGGTCGCGTGCGTATGCGCAGCTTCTTAAAATGAAGGGTGCAGTGAAGGCGTGTGCGCGACACTTGGGGTGCACGGGCCGAACGTCAATCCTTTTCTTAGATTCAGAGATGGAGCAGGTGGGGTGGCACTTGCCATTGATATACCACAAGTCCTTTGAAGGGGTGAACACAAAAGTATTTTAGTAGGATAATGAGTGGTGTAAACCTAATGGATTTATTCGTATGTACAGTAAGCCGAGTGTCCGACGGCTAGTTGGTGAGGCACGTGTAGCCCACACGTCATATGCTAATGATGCAATTATAACAAACTAATTAAGTACACGTCGCGATAAGATCAGCGCCTAACAATTTTTTAGCTTAAATTCGTTACATTTAAACAAAGGAATATTGTGTTAAACAACCATTTGATGATAAAGTGAAACCCAATGTTAAAACTTCTACCACAAACTGTAAAATTTAAATAATAATTAATGTAATAAGTAAATATAAAAACCCCGACTTATCCACATAATGTAACGAAAGAGAATAAACGTAAAAAGCTTTTTATAATAGAAGTAATCTCTCGCGAAGTCGGTCATATAAACAATGGGGTTTCAGTTTTCATAGCACTTCCTTACGTGCCTATTTCTATCTCGAAGATATACTTAAATGTGGCAATAATAAACAACATATGCAACTACCTATGAACTTAATAAACAACCAATTGGACTAAAGTTTTGCAGTTTTTAATAAATGAAGATGTTCTACGACGACATAATGTAACACAGGATATCCTAAGAACATTAATACGGCAATATATAAACTAAATTAAAAAAAAAACAAATAAGGATTCTAAAAATCCTGTTGCGGCTCTATTCATGTTTATGAGTCGGGCATATGAAATTGTGGATTGTTCTAGACTCCTGAAAAAACTAGAAAAATCTTACTTGACAAACAGGAAACAAATCAAATCTCTAAGCAGCATATATTAACTCAAGAATAGAAAAGAATTACACTTCTGATCAAAGATTAACCAAATATGGAGTACCTCAAGGAAGTATTTTAGAGCCACTACTGTTTCTTATTTATATCAGCGACATGCCCAAAGTCACACATCATCCAATTTGCTGATGACAGTACTGTGCTTTTCAGAGCTGGTCATAATCACTTCGAAACAGAAATATACGACTGCTTGAGAACGTTAATTGACTGATTAGAAGCAAATAACTTTAAATTAAACCCCGATAAAACTAAGCTCATTACGTTTCTACAAAAAACCAATCACAATAAACCCATGGTAAGATATGGTACTAATATAATAAAAGAAACGAATTCCACAAAATTTTTAGGCATAAAAATAGATAGGGAAATGTCTTGGCAAACTCTTGGCAAAGTCTTGGTTGGGGCAATTCAACAAAAAAGGAAAGTATTTTCAAAGCCCAAAAAAATAAACTGTTAACCTCACTTTCTGGGACTTCGTATTACTTTTATTTCGTATCACTGCGTATTACTTGTACTTACACTTAGCATTACCTTGTTTGTACATACATGAGAGGGTAATGTTTTTGAGGAATAATTTCTGTCTATTAGAGACTTTAAATAGTGCACATAATCAAAAACTTAGTTTACCCTACATAATAAAACAATATTTAAGAAAAACCTATTAGGAATGGTACCTAAAATATGTAACAAACTTCCAAAATCTCTCTTGCAAATTGTAAATAATAACATTTTTAAGACAGAACTAAAGAGCCTGTTGGTTAATAAGGTTTATTATACAATAGAGGAACACTTAGCGGACATTTGAAAAAAGCAATGTAAAAGGAAACGTTTGTATGAAGTAAGACTCGACAAATGCGTAAAATAATTCATTGTGTGGCTTTTAATTTAATTTATAAATATTGTGTATAAATATATGGACAATTTATGAAATTATGTTACGTTTGTAATTATTCTTTATGTTATTGGTATAATTTAGGATATTCTTTTGTGTGAAACCCTATTTAACTTGTATTTGTATCTTTTGACATATTTCGAAAATGTTGTAGTGTGAATTGTATACCTTTAATGGAAATGTGATATATTACTAAAAGACTAATTTAGCAAGCCTTAATCAGCCGAACATGATTTACTTTGCATCCACGACACCTTAGATGTTACATGACTATGCTTTATGTTCAGCGATGAATGAATAAATGATTGATGATATGATGGACTCAGCGAAAGATCAACTCTATCATAAAAATCTTTTTACTTGTATTAATTTTCGTTACATAATCTGCTTAAGTCGGGGGTTTTAAATTATTTTATCCTTTTTTGATTGCGTTTTAGCCTTTGTGGGCTTTTTCAAAAAAAAATATTTTCTTTTTATTTCAGTCTTTTTAGAGAGCATACACATATTATGTACATATGTAAATGTAGTTTATTTCACAGTGATAATATATAACGTATACATATTTAGAACTCAACTTTGCCGGTACTTTGTTGTAACTCGATATTATTTCGTACAATGAAAATATGTTGATATGATGTTCAAATCACTCATCTGCAGCTCTATAATAGTCGTCAAAGAGAAGAGAAGATAGAGATAAAGGTACAGAAGACCATATTCGACGTGGGGTTTTTATTTTTTCCATTTAATTTTTATTAATTATTTTTAGAGTCACTATTCTCTACAGAAATGCTTACCTATCGATTTCTATCGAGTTTAAGTAAGTAGTGAGTCAAAGGAGTGTTACCTCCTGACTAATGGACGGACTTGTCATTACAAATCAAATGAGCCCAAACTACACTAACTAAAGGTTTTACTAGTAACCATTAGGGAGTTCCACTATATTCGTTTTGCCTTCATCATCAGACTCTCACCACTATGCATAATCAAAGGGGCTCGTAAAAACTAATCTAACGAGGCCAAACACGATTGACTTGCTAGTAGTCCTTGAAGAGTTCGAGTATCCACCTCTTGGCTTCCTCATCAGATCAGCTTAAAGTTGCTAATGTATAGTATTGACATGGAAACCACGTATAACTGCTAAGTTTCAAACTGACAGGACGATCCAACTCGGCAAAAACGAACAAAAACCTATTTTTACGAAGGAAAAATATTTACTGCAGCGCCCTCTAATAAGTTACCACCGTAACACCTATCTAAGCACTATCACTACTGCATATAACCCATTACTGAAAACCGCATCAAAATCGGACAAGTATCTACTTTTGGAGCAAAATGCAAAATTGGTTTCCACAAGTAAATGTTTACAGCAGCACCTCCTAGTAAGTTAAACCATAAGACCTATCTAAGAACCAGCACCAATCAACCACGAACCCATTACTAAAAACCGCATTAAAATCGGACTACAAAATCATAGTCAAAATCGGAGATACAAAACAGCGATTTTAAGATTTCTTCTGTCTGTTTGTTTTTTCTGTTCCTCTGTTAGCACACATCTAAAAAGTCCCCGCATTTTTATATAGTTTTCACAGGCAGATAGTACTCGTAGTAGTTTAATTCGGAGCAAAATATGCCCTTATTTAATTAAAAGCAGATTTCGACAAATGTTACAGGATTTCAGGATTTTTGTAATTTATTTTTAACGTTAAGCCTATGTCTACAAATGAATTAGATAATATAGATAATTAAATATAAACGATTTTAAGAATAAATTATTAATTATTATAATTATTTGGGGGGTCCGTAGCTGTAGAGGGAAACGGTCTTGACAAGGAGCCTTCCTAAATCCTTGTCACCTTGAAATTCAGCCGACTTAAATGGGTCTTAACTAGTATGATAATGATAACTAAACGACTTACTGAGAGAACAATGCGCCTATAAACGGGATAATCCAATGAAGAATAAATTAAAAAACGGCTATCTGTAAAATTATATTATAATGTTAACGAATATTTAAATGAAAGTCTCTAACCATAGATCTTTGCCTGCTCATTAAACTGCCTGTATCAACACTTTTTCTTTTTTTTAAATATTTTTAATGTATTTTTTAAGAACTTTGTACCATATTCATGCAAATAAATTTATTTGATTGGATTTCATTTGATGTTATATGATCACGCGAAAATGTATTTGAAATAGATTAGTATTTCCATAACTATACTTTTCTTACACGTTCCTAATAAAAGTGGAAGGCAATTCAAAGTGGTGGCAACTTTTTTTGTATTATTTGTGAAAATAAGCTCTTTCAAAAGTATTTAAATACAAGATGATAAAAAGCTGCTTCAGTGCTGACACTTGAGCATTACGCACTGTTCGAGTTCAGTATGAACACTCAGCAAATACCTTAATTGCATCGCATGCATTTATGGACTTTGTCGGTTTTGACTTTGACTTGCTATTGAAGTCAGTTTGCGCTCAAAGCCTCTACGGCGTTACTGTGTGCTTACTACTAGATATGGAAATTATTGCTACTTTTAATTCATAATCATGTCATAGTCATGAAATGATGAGCTTTAGTCACTGTGATTTCAACAGTGATTGTGATTTGGTCATAGATAAAAATAAATGTCATCAAAATTAATCAAAATTGTTATTGTCATAAATTGTGACCTATTTTTTTTTAATTTAGTTCTGTCGCGAGTCTGGCGGCTAGCGTAATAATAATAATAAGTCGCAATGATGTTGTCAATTAGCCACGCTTGTGATTATATGTCATATGATTCATCACAGTGGATTGTGATCTCATTCTATCCCTACTTATTACCAAAACCGTAAATAACATTTAGAGTGAAAAGTACTTAGAAAAGCAGAAACCTCGAATGTGATGATACTCTAATTGATCTACTGTGATCTCCTCCGAGAGACGCGGGCTTATCGAATACTTCTTTTCTTCATATGGAAAGTAACCTTTCTACACGGCACACTCGAATAACTCAAAAATGATTGTCGAATAAACAGCTTTACAATTAGTTTGAATAATAAATACCGTGTAATCAACTAATTACAATAAATAAAAACATATTATATATATATCACAGAAAATTATATCTTTAAACCGGAAGACATACAAATATGTCAACAAACAAGATCAGGTAATGTTTAAGTGTACTGACCGTGGCTGGGCGGCGGCGACGGCGACTTGATGAGCTCGCCGGACTCTTCTGTAACAACACAAACAACTGCGTTAGTTGGCGCTGTTCACACGCGGCCTGGACCGCTCGCACCACCACCGTTTACTTCTCATACTACCTTACATTCTACGCAGTTGATACTTGTACCAATACAGACACTGATGGCCACTTGTTATACCCATTGCACTGGTACAGCACTGTACTGTGTGTGCAGCAGTAGACTGTGACTGATACTGGTAGATATACATCATGGTAATTAAATATAACCAGCGCTTAATTACAAGCCATCGTAACACCATTAATTACGTTCCGAGATGATAGCTGATATCAAATTGTAAAAGGTACGTAAATGTACCACGCGAGCTATGTTATCCCCGCAGGAGGTACACGCTACAAGCGGCAGCACTCCTGCATCTTCGACAGGTGCAGACGACGCCCCGACGGCATCGGCCTCTGTAGTCGGTGTCACACTTACCTCCAATGAACAGTCGTGTGGTTCTATCTTTCATTAGTTCCGTATCAAGTACTCGATAAGAACGATCTCACACAGGTTTCTATTAAAAGGTATTCAATAAGGAAGTTCAGATGCGCGTTACCTTTTAGTAATGATTATAAAATTCCACTATAATGATTTACGTAAGTGCACACTGTACTTATGTTACAACACACTGTAAACTGACTGTAAAATAAGACCGAATACAACTTGCAATGTTTTGGTTGTGACCGAGTCCGTAACTGTTATATGTGTAGGTTGTCTTAAGTTGCCCTTATTTACTGAACAATTTACTGCCAGCAGAGGACTATTAAAGGCTGTTGATGTGATGATACAGGTAGTACCAATGGGAAACCGTACTTTTGTTTTAAAAACATTGCTTTTTTAAGATCGCTGAAAATCGCGTTTTATAGAAATAAACCACAGATCCATTTTCGGTAAATAACAGCAGGACATTCCACATTCAGAACACCTTTTCTTCGGTCATAATGATTTTCTTTATTCTTAATTATTATTTATTAATATGCACGGTTACCCGACCCACTGGCTGCACCAGAGACTGTGTGCGAACGTCATGTCGCTTACCGGAAAGATTTTTAGGCAAGTACTACTAGTTGTAATGTCTTTATGATACGACAAACAACATCTTTGTATTTTAAATAGTAAATAAAGTTACACCACATCCGTAAAAAACCGAATTTACTTTACATGATATTCGTTTATGATAATTCAATATTTATTTTGTGAAAGGAGGAACGAGGAATTGTTTCATTTAAGATATTAAAAGTTGATGGTGAAGGAACGTTGAAGCGCGAACGTGAACTGGTGTCACAACACGGCTCGTGTTATTGGAGGGATCATCTCATTAGCAGAGAGCCGAGCTAATACTAATTAATAGGATAAACCGCCGCGTGTCCACCGCCTGCGCTAAGCCGCGGCTTTAGCGTGAAGCCTACGACACAGATCATCAAATTACAAGTAAGGCTTATTAACTGCCAGCTCATGTATCGCTTGCGTCATTCCGCCGCTGCTTCGCGTTCAATCATTCGTGGGATAAAACCTGTGACCGTACGATCTGTAAAAGACTTGGACAGCACGCCAAGTGCCGTTTTCACTAGTGCGATTGTAAATTATGACAATCTTGATATTTCTGTACAACTGCACAGCGTTACACGGTACAATAGAACGTGAACCACACACAAATTATGAAATATGGGGGACTGACATGTACGTTCACATTTTGTTATGAACAAAAACCAAACTTTTCCATTTAATAAGAAAGAGGAAATTTTATATAAATTATTATCTCATATAAAAACTGGAACTTTATTTTAGCCTTAAATTCAAAAGTAATCAATTACCTTTTTTTTTCAAGTTTATTAATTGATATTGAGTTTCAAATGGTCATAAACATGATCCAAAAGTATTCATATCAATGTTAGCAGGCCGTCAGTGGCTCGGTACCAGACATACATTTACAAGTTTTGTAAAATTACAGAAAAGGTAGGAACACTGCAAATTTGCGAAATGATATGTGTACGTGGAGCTGGGTGAGGTGCGTCTCGCGTGGGAACAGCGCTACCTGCCGCACGATCCGCCCGAGACCGCGGTAATCCGCGCGCAACCAGCCCGTGGATTCAAAGGATTTACGTCGACACAAATGTTCATCTATTTAAATATACGCCAAATTATAAAGACGTTCATCCCGACGCGCGATAAAAAATGTTTAAGTAAAAAAGTAGACGAATGCATTGAAACGTCATCGTCATTTTTTGTGTGTCGAAGGTAAAAGGGTGCAATCGCAGAAACAAGACGCGGAGGTGTATCGGATTGAAATGTTCCTGTTCAATGCAAAAAGTGCCAGTTGTGCGCTTTTTGCACATTACAAATAAATAAGAAATAATACCGAGGCCCTGATGCTGCTTTCCTAATAGCGACGGTAAGCTTTGTGTTGGCGCGCTTGATTTAGTTCATTCAAAAGACATGTTTTATTAATAATAAAAAATAATGAAATAGCGTTGCGTGGATGAATATAAAACTTGATACAAAAGTAAAGGTACGATTAGTATATCGCGTTCTTTAAATTCTCTTGACAATGGCGCTCAATAACAAAATTCTCAAACATATAAATTAACATTATGAAATATACACTTAGAAATTTCTTCACTACGTATATAATTATAATATACTATACTGTACAATACTATATTTAACTATAATACATAAATATCACGAAATTATCTCCTGAATTATATACAGAGAGTGCAGAACACGGGCTTCTACCAAGTTATTGTACAATAGGAATGATACCAAGGATATGTGCAATATACTAATACTGATCAACGAATCAGCTTTTTTAATTTAAATTTAAAAGTAACAAGAAAAAGTAATTTGTTTATTATATTATGTGAAAAGCATATTGACAACAATGGAATACAAATAATTTAATAATATTGGCAGACTATAGATTTGGCAGGAGTTTTAAATTGTTGTAATAGGTATGTTGTTAATCCTAAATCCTAAACACTTTTATTTAAAAAGAATTAGTGCTAGACAAGACATCGTCACAGTCGGAGCAGCTAAGTTGTGTTTAGAGCTAACTTAGGTTTCCAGTGCTGCGCTTCTCACTCAGTTTGTGTACGAAGGAGCAGCACTGACATTTCTCGATTAGAAGTATCTGAGATGCATGACAGTTTAATTAGGTGCACTTTCATTGATTCGGTAATCAAGTACTATAAGTGGCCGACAACTGCGACATTGACAAGTGTAACAAAACAGCTAGAGACAACTCAATAAATGGAACATGGCATTGGGCGGAATGTGTGGTTGTATGGTGTTTCCAACTATTTCATCATAACGTCACAAACTTACAAACAATCATGAACAACTGAATACATTTGTTGACACAGGGCCGCTGCAGCTTGAGCATTTACCTACTTTAAATTGGAGTTCAATTTTGTTAAATCTGTCAATTTGTCTTTATCTAAAGAAATAAAACTACTATAAAGGAATGGTACTGGTTTACTAAGATCCTCCTAGGCATAAACCATTTTTCTAGGGCGAGGCCTACGTCCAGCAGTGGTCTACTAAATGCAGTCGATTAAAGCAAAATATAGAGAGTATTCGAGAAAATATGAGGAGGCCTTTACTCGTTGAGAGGTTCTCAATCAAGAAATATTTAATGAAATAATTTCAATATATTTGTAATAAATTTATTACTCGTAATCTAAATAAAAATCTAACATAATTTTTGTAATATAGTATTTTTAGTTTAACTTACTTAATGTTAAAAATTATAATATAATTGCATATTTTTTACCAAATTGATTAATATTGTATTAAGAAAGTAATAAGGAAATAAAGAGGTTATAATAATAATAAATAAGGAATAATATGAAGAATACAAGTGTAGTGTTACCATATAACATCCACAAAAACAAAACAATGAAGTTAGTGAACATAATACGAGTTTGGAAAGTTATTTATTGTGACGTTTATGTTAAATGTGGTATGCAACGTCTTGAATTGAAATTGATGAACAACAAATGAATACTTGAAACAAGTGTGACGCAAATAATGAAGTCGTGTCTTGACTTGTTGTTGTTAGTAAAACTGTTAGCTAAGTGGCAACTGGCATATGAACACAGAAGCCTGCAAAGTAGTGGCTACTCGACGAAGGTCACATCCTAACACGATATCTCTTGAAATAATTATAAATTTTATCACTTTTGTATTTAAATGGGAAAATTTGGAGCGAAATGTTTACGCAAGTCATAGGATGTTTTGCGGTGCGGTTCCGCACTGTACTCACGGTAGGCGGCGGAGCAGTAGGTTCGCGTGTCTGCGCGGACGCACGCCGACAGGACCATAGTGTGCACAGGCGCGGAGCTGCGTGAGGAGGAATGAGCGCGGCTCGGCGCGCGGCGACTCACTGCCAGCTCCGCACACCGCGCCGAGAGCGGGCCTCGGCGCCACCACTGCCCCGCGCCGCGCCCCGCCGCCCTGCCGACCCGCTCGCGCACCCCGCTCAACCCTCAACCGTCGAATTAAAATTTTGAACTTTTTTGGTCCGAATCCGTTTCTTTTCCGCCCTTAGTGAATTTTTTTCGCGCGACCTCGCTATTATTTCGATTACCTGAGATGATTTTTTTTCGCTTTCGCCGAACGGATCGAGCGCGATGCGCGTTTAAAAGCTGTTTAATTTTTTAGGAAAGGGGAGCGACGGGTTCGGCTAACCGATGCGCGAATTCCGATATCGGGTTTGATTAAAAAAAACGAGGCTCCGATCGAAGCGAGCGTGTGCCGCGAGTCGTTACTGAGTTATTACCGAACAAATAATAGAAGCTATCCGCCGCATCTGTATCTGTGGCATCTAGCGGGCGCGGCGCCTTCCGCGACCAGCACGAGTCAGGACAGTCACTGCGTTAATCATCGCCGCTATTGTTTCTCTCGCCGCATTGTGTAGTCACGAGACTTGTTTGAACACTTCATGACAATTTAAAATAAAAATATTGGTACGGAAAGAGGTCTCGGCAACAAAAGAAGTAATCATCGTAGAGCATCGACGAGCGGGTGGCGGGCGGCGCGGGAGCGGGTCGGTACCGAATTGATAGCAGATGAAAGGGCTGCTTCCTGTTTGATCTGAACCTGATAGAACCGACCGAGGCGAGTGACCGCCGCCACAGACCCACCAACGCACACACGCTCCTCACAATGTACTTATTTAATCAGAGCGTACGATAACGCACAGACGTTAGGTACCGGTCACTTTGTAAAGCCATTAGTTTGGTGTGGAAACAAGAATAAATTAACGTTTGCATGTTTTGCATTTCCACGCCTATGCAAATCTGAGTACAAATTAGCACACAGCCTGTCTGGTACGTACGCGTGCTGTGGTGGCGCTCCTTCTCTCTCTCTTTGTGATGGTAATGTCCGCAAACACGGCGGCGATCAAATTCAATTCCCTCCGCTCGGCTCCACTCTACTCTCATGCATCTCTATCGCGGAATGCATTTACGTAATGTGGCCTCTGTTTGTTTAGGCGCCAACATATTGCTACTTTGAATAAGAAATTCGCCTCTCCAGTGGAGCCACTTCTTTTAAACTGAATAAATGTGTTTACTCTAACGGTAACGGACACGAGTGATGTTATTTTGGGTGCTGTTTGTTTGTATAGTTCACAGAGACACAAAACCGTCCCCTGGCCTCTTATTTGACTCAATATGAGATAACATCAAGTGTGTTAATCAGTATTTAAAATGATGAGTTGCGGCTCTTCTACAATCGGAGTACACATTTCTCAGTAGTCGTAGGAGCACTAGTTGCACTAGTAGTGTATGAAGTACAAGGTTCCACTTCCTACGTTCATTCCTAATTTTCGGTGGTCGCGTGATTTATTGTCTACTTCTTTCCAGGAATACAAAACAGATCGTTTATGTTGCGAATTGCACGGTGATGATTTCTGCTTAATTTGGGTTCGGTAAGAGCTAGTTTTTTATTATCGTTCCCTCACTATAAACGCACTAGCCGCCGGTTTTAGTTGAGAAACTGTAAACAGCTGATTACGTTTAAACGTCTTAATATTTGCTGGCGATCGATGAGTGAGGCACGTGCGTGTGAGGGCGGGCCGTGTGCTGTAGTAGCGCTACGCGGCGTAGCGGGCACTCGTAGCTCATAGCGGCGACCCTCGGCGCGCTTTACTGTTATTACGAGATCTTTACGACCTGTGATTTCTATATTTGTGTAGTTTTATTTGATGTCGCGCGTCGTGACCCTCGCTACCTCGCTGCTATTTAATTAAAGATTTGGTGGAGGCTGAAGGGTTGCGCGACCCGAGCGCGGAGGGCGAGACGTCCGAGTGCACTTTACATCGGACGCGGACAACATATTTATTTTTGTTAAACATGTTCCCATAAAACGACAAGTGCCCTACATGGTGCCAAGGACGTGTTGACGTTACGAGGAGCTTCTGGCCGGTGTCGTGCGCCGCTTCTTATACACATAACGCTGCTATTATTGATGCACAGACTTATTTGCACCACGTTTATAGAAGTACTATCGTCCATACTTTGAATCATGCTTGGTTGAGTAATGTTTATTATTATTCTGGTCTTTTCCTTCGAGTGAATGTTGCTAATCAATATGTATGAAAACAATGAGCGGGGATGCTGTGTCCGAGGGCAGGGGTGCGTCGCCATGTTGGATTAGCGCAGTATTTGCATTTACAATTGCGCGGCTCGTTTCATGGCGCGTCACTAGGGTCTAAGGGTGGCTCGCCCACTCGCTTCCTCCCGCTTTACATATTAATGCTATTAAACGAACAACCAAAGTAAACTGCGGAGCCACTTTTCGATAAAATTCGTATTAAAGAACTTAATGAAATGTTCTCAAAACGCTGAAATAATTTTGTGTTAAAATGTAAAGTTAAACTAAAGCATTAGAATATACTTAGATTTGCTCACGACTCAGATAATTAAATACGAAAGAAATTAGTTGAACATTTTTCTAGGAGTTAAAGTAGGTACACTAGAATTATGTTGTAGTTAGAGGTACCCTAAAAAGGACTTATTTCCATCTCACAAAGTACAGTCACCAGAATTTTCTAGAAAGGGGGTGGTATTGGCAAAATGCAGCTCTAATTAGTTTTAACCACCATCGAACTTGGGGTCGGGGTACCTTTCAACAGTTCTATCTCTCACTATTAATCTGATTCAACCGCAAATGCTGGACAAGTATATAAATGAGAGCTGAGCGGAGTGGGGCGTCGATGTCCCGCTATGATTTACATACGCGCGGTATATGTAAATGTGCGGTATGTAGATGCGTCCCGCGCCGCCATTGGCCCGACCCCTTTACCTCGCCCAGTATGGAAATAAAGCGACGCTAAAAAATGAACTGATTTGTGTACGGTTGTCGGGGCGTGCGGGGGGCGAGCGGGGCGCACCGGCGGGCAAGGGTTGAGCCGCGCCGCTGGCGCGCTGTGACGTGTCGCGCGTGTGATATATGATCGGCGCGCGTCCTTCTGTTAGTTAGTCGCGGCGCGACATCGTGACGGCTTTAATTTAAACCGCTATGATTTATGATCATACGACGCACGCTGCCTACCACCTTATGTACCTCACTCCACTCATTATGTATTAACTTGTGCGAGTTTGCACTGCCATCTAAGTTTTTTCCCTTTATTCCTTGATTTGAATTTTTTTATTACCTAGTAAACAGCTAATAACAATCGATAAATTTATTAAGTATTTAACATATTGTTTCGCACAAAGTGTGGTTTTCGTTTGCACACAATAATAACAACGACAAAGCTACACTGTGACAATAGGTATAACTTAACAAAACACTAGACAGTTAACATTTAAACTGGTTATTGCGTACAGTTCAATGAACAACGTCTATGTCATAGAGCGCCACCTAGAACAGTGCACTTCTCAAAACATTTGTTGGTCAGGTATGTATGGATGACCTTTGTTGTTTCAGGAAAAAACAGTTGTGCTATTGAGGTTTTATAACAACTACGTATATCTAAGAGTTTCTATTTCAAAGTGTGAGTAAAATAGTTATCAACAAATTGTCTAAATTATTTGAAGAATGTTATGAATTTGTTAAAATTTAAATTTATTGGAATTGCCATCGCCTAATAGACGCAAAATAATATTATGTACTTAGGCACATCAACACACACACACGCCGCCATTCGTTGCTTCTTTTATTTTCTCTAAAGATATTTAAAAAACCTGGTTTATAGATATTATAAAAAACCTATTATTATGATATTACAAACAGACATCAATTTTATTTATTTTTATAGATAAGATAAAAGTAAAAGGAGACTCCTAAGACTAATCTATGTAAAACTGTAACACTGTAAAGTGATTATTATTATAATAAATAGTTATTATTATAATAATATATTAAGAGATAATGCAATAAAATAGAAGTTCAGCGACACTTCAACGCGCTCCTACTTCAAGTGTTACTCAAACTGTGCTTGAATAATTAGCTCGAACGACAGTTCAAAGGATCTCTCACACAGGATTTGACTTAGACTTTTCTAACATTAGTACCTACTACTTTAGCGAAATAATGATTTAATAGTTTCGCAATCTTGATTTGTTATTGCTAACTTAAAACATCGGCAGCGCCTTCATTGAATAACACAAACATGTAAATATTTAGCACCTTTCAAGACAACTCTATGGTTCGATTTCATAACAAATACAGGAATTCTTAAATATCGTATGAAATACGATCAGAGGGAGAAGGAGAGTGGCAACAGCTGTAGATACTTCGCGTGTGTTAGTGAAGCTTCCTGCGCAGTTGTAGTAAGTGTCGTTTAACACATCAACTCTGTTGTACAAGAATACCAAAATATTGTTCATTTTAATTGTATTGAATGGCTCAAAAGTTGTCCCAAAATAAAATGACGTTCTTGAGCCCTGCGCTGTTAAATGTGGAGTCACGCGACGCCTACGTTTGTTAACTCGTAGTTTGGTGTTTTGTTTTTACAAGAAGTCTACAATTATAACGTGATGTTTATCGTCGCACGATTGGTAAATGAAAGTTGTCTGTTGTTGAATGTAGATAGTTCTATTTTCAAAGCTTTATCAGAAAGAAAGAGTTACGACACAATAGTTATTGAAATCGAAATCGTTACAGCAGGCGCGTGCCCGACGATTCATCTGCACATCGACCCCTGCCCCCCCCTCCCTCCCCTACTGCGGCGGAGATGCGCGCGCGCAGCCTGCGGGGGAGAGCCGTGCCACGCGCCGCAACCCTTTAGCGGCAGTTAACTCTATTTAATAAAGAATGAGCGTAGACCCAGGGTGCGGGGTCAGTGGGGTGCGGGGGTGCCGCGTGTCGCCGATATCGCTCACAAGTGCAGGCGAATGCGGGCGACGGGTGACTTACTTACGCTTTAATCGATTATATCGCGACCGAATAAACATTATAAATTGCTTTAATCACATTTAATGGCCTCAATCCTCGCACATTAGCGGTAGTGCTAACGGCACCTCGCCCACCCCTCCTTTACCCTACCCCCCCTTGCGTACCTCAGCTCAAGCTTTACTACGTGGTACTTTGCACCAACGTTTTGTCTTGTGGTACTACACCGCACTTGACCTTGTTATACTTGAGGGCTTAGACAGTGATTAGATGCAACTATTAAATTATCTCAAGAGAGTACAAGGAAAGGGATTCTCTTGGATCTTCGAAGAGTATACCGATTGTGGGTAACTTCAACCATATGTTCATGTAGAAACTGATAAACCAATATCTAAAACCAAAAAGGCCTTCGTCGGAACCGTTATGAATTATAAACCTTACTATACCTATTACAGTTTATACAGTATTATATACCAGAATAGATACCCTTACTCATAGGATTCACCAGCAGTGACCCGCTGCAGCGTTGGGGCGCAGACCGTATGCTTCTTTGAAACAAAATAAATTACCCTTTATTTCTAATGCTTTGTAAACAAATAAATAAATAGTTTTATTACTAGCGATCCACCCCGGCTTCGCACGGGTGCAATGTAGATACCAATACTACTAATGTGGTGTCATGTGGAGTACTTAATTATACCATTATTATGATAGGACTATACTACAGGATATCTTTAAATGCAATATTTACAGGCCCGCACCGATCCTGCCGGTCGTTGCCACCCGCGACCGACGCACGGCCCAATGCGGCGACGGCCGCTTCAATCAATTTTAAATCTCTAACAACTTCTAAAATCTTCATTTTAATGATATACTGTGAAGAGGACTTTAAATCTACTATAAATGCACAACGTACCTAACGTATTTAATTGGATAAGGAATAATAATATATTGTTTAAAATAGTTTCGTAAATAACCCATTATTTTTTATAATATTTAAAAGATTACAACTTTTACGGTTATAGTTACAACGGTTACTGTGGGATATCCTTATTAGATAGACATTAGATAGACACTATTGCGGATTCTTTTTTAGATTTTT